CCCTTGGGCTTCTGCAGTCGGGTCTGGTCACATCAGCGGGGAGGCGGTAGGAGAACGTAGGTTGGCGGAGGCTGGAAATAGAAGTCTCGGAAGGCACGAGGAAACTCCCGTGAAGCAGCTGGAATAGTTTTGGTTGTGGAGAAAGTCAATGAAAGATGAAGGGATGCAGAACAAAGCCTCGTTGACAGAAGACTCGTCTGCCTCAGGGCGTTTAGAGAAGAAATAAGACAGCCATTGTTCTCCCCAAGTATAATTAAAGTAAGCTAAATTCTCTGGAAGAAAAAGCTAAATGGGTTTCAGGAGGGGGTGTGTGTGTGTGTGTGTGTGTGTGTGTCGGTGGTTAACTGGTAGCGTGGGATAACTTCATTACAGGACCGAGTCTTAAATTAGGAACTGATTTTTAAAAATTATTCGGAGGTCTTAAAAGGCTTATGTTTCAAGAAGTAAGTAACCATTAATAGTTGGTTAAATGAGATGGTTGCTCCTCAGTAGCTAGACTACTTGATGTGTGAGGTCCTAATGCAGTTTCCTTTCCAAAATGTAAGAGAAGAGATTACGAAGGCGTAAAATTAACAGGATTTGTCAGTTTTCCTCTATACATGCAGATTCTATCACAGATTCTTATGAGTGATTTATTGGATATCTTGAACCCCAAAATCTCATGCTATAAGCCAGATTTGTTTTCATTTACTCCCTATTAACTACGGATAGTTACACTATCTCAGTGAGCAATTGCTAAAAATTTATCACTTGGATGTAGCCCAGTCTCCCCTTAAAGCAAATACCAGGTCCAGAGCAACTTTCTACTGGCCTATGACAGTCCTAATTTCTGAATTGTAAAAATATCTTCTTTGAAGATGTTGATGCTGTTCAGTTTGGTGTATCTTCAGCAGAAAACTGAAAAAGTTAACCTGCTGACTTGAAGCACTATCCCAAGTACTTATTCACTGGGCCTGAGGCTAGAATTTAGCATTACTTTTGTATTTGGCAGATGCAGAGGTAAGTGGTCGTCAGATTAAAGACATGGTGGTGGTAAGTATCCAGATCTCTCTCCTGCTTCTCCAAAAGAAAATATAAAGTTAGGCAAATTCCTTCTGTTTGCCCACAGTTCCTCTGGGACCCTGATCTGCTTTCTGCCACCTCTGAAGCCTACAAGGCAAATCATACTAGTCCTCTAAATATGATTCCCTGAAACTGTCTGTTCCAGGACAGTATTTTGAGCTGTTTGCTGACTGTCTAGGCTGCAGGTGTCTGCATTGCTTTCAATCAGGAACTGACTTGAATCCAATACGATAAGGATTTTTGAAAGAGCGGGGAGCCAAGGACAGGTAAAGGGCTAGTAAATCAAAGCAAAGGGGACCAAAGGTGTTTGTGAGTCTGAGTAGGGTCCTATGCTCTGGGAAATCCTGTGGAAGAGTATCACCGACTGCACAGATCCAAGGATTGTATGGATCAAAGAAAGGAGGTTGTTAATGGTTGCTTGCACGATGTGACATTGTGTAGCTCTTTTTCCTCTTTGCAAGTCTTAATGCTCTTCTAGCATAGGGTTTTTCACGTTACACATACAAGTGCTATAAAGGAAAATAGTCAATTTATAAAAATTGTTGTAGGTCACCTAGATTTTTTTGTCAGCTACAGGCCAAAATAATTTTAATTTCTCCAGCGTGGCCAAGCAAGTGCTTTTTCAGATTGCTCCTACCTGTTCTAGCTAGAGATTGAATTCACAGTAACAACTTGTTGCTTTTTCTGAAAGGTTGCACTGGACTGGCAGAAGCAATTGAAAACTGGGACTTCAGCAAACCGGAAAAGCTGGAGTTGCACAGACAGCTGTTGAAGAAGATAGAAGCAATAATGCTAGAATTTGCCATTTTCCTAGGCTCCTGAAGGATGCAGATGTGGTGTGCCACACAGGAGGGTACTGAGGAACTAGTACAAATCTCTGATTGGATTTAGCTGTCTTCTCTTTTAATGTTTAAAGGATCTCACACTGGGCATTGCACATGTTAGAGGTTGCCCCTCATTTACCACACTTCTTGTGAAAAGCTGTTCTGTCAGCACATTATCAAAAAGGTCTCCAAACACCAGACTGTTGATGATGCATCTCTTCTCTGACATAACTAATTCACCCATGACATGATACAAGTGAGTTTAGAGCTGAATGTGGCTGCAAAGGATCTGTACAGTCGATGTCACTTCTTGTACGGCAAATTTTGCTCCACTAGTGGTTCCTAGTCCCTATTCCGTAAGTGTAAACCCTCTGACAGGACCGCAGTTTAAGAGAGTATTAACTTCAAAAGTCTGTAAAGCAGAAGGCTAAAAGGAATTGTGTGCATATATTTGGGGGAAAATAAGCCTTTGTGTTTTCTTTCTGAGTTGAGAAAAGACCAGTTGAGGTAAGAGTTGTCAGCCAAGACCATGAAATTCGTTCATTTTAGGAAGCACAGTTGAGTGGTAGCAAAAGCATGCCATCAAACCTACACAGAATTCTTGTCTGGTGTGTATGTCTGTCAGAGAGTGCTCTGTGTAGACTACAAGGACTCTACCTCTATCATTTTAGATAGAAACTGTATGGGGCACAATGTATCTTATGCATTTCTACTGCAACACTCTTCACAAAAATGTGTTCTCTCTTAGAATGGACCTGTCAGTCTTCACGGTTCATGAACTAAAGAAGGCTTGGAGCTACCAGACCGAACTTGCACAGCCTGATATCAATGGGAAAAACACATTGATATGTTCCCCCACAGGTAAGAAAACATCCATTTCCTAGAAAAATTCTCTTGGTGGAGAGGGCTATGAAGGATAAGGAACGGTAAAGGTTGAGTCAAACCTTTCCAGCTGTTTATTTGAAAGCAGTCTTCCTTGAAGGACTAGATCCAGATCTAACCTGAAATTAATGACCAAGGGCAGCACAGAGACTGAGCAAGACAGACATGTCTCTTGGCACTTCAGTGCTTGTATTCAGATTTTCATGTTCTGACCTCTGCTTTCTCACTCCCTGGTGCGGATTTTTGAGTTAAAATTGCTCACTGATCTTTGCAGATCTTTATGAAATTTGGCTTGCAAGTTGAAGTAAAAATAGGATGAGTTGCCCTGAGACTCCCCTGTCTTCTGTACTGCAATGCCTACATTAAAACAGCACAGGGAACTTCTGCAGTAGCTCAGGACTGAATTAAGAAGATTGAAGTTCCGCAGCAAAAGAGATATCAATCAGCTCTTTCTTTCTACCTGTGTTTTCCATGTTGCTGGTGTGATTCTCCCCTGGGCCCTGGAGAGGCAGGTGGGGTAGCAGAGGCAGGGACACAGAAGAGCTCTGGGTGGCTGCACGGTGAGTCTGAGCGCTCAAGGAAAAGAAATGTGAGAGGAGTAAGGCTGCGTGGGGAAGGATGGAAGCTGAAAGTGTCTGGTGCCTGTACTATAGTCTGCTTTGATGTGGGTGCACACACTAAGAGGAGAAATAGACTCAATGATTTCAAAGAACACAAAGAAAACTGTAAATGGATTTTCCTTTCCAGTGACTGCTACACAGTCTTTACAGAGTGAAATTGTGAGAAAGTGATGATTACCCACCTGAGTAAGCAGCAAGCATGTGTTCAAACCTGTCCCCAGAGAGTCTGGAAGCATAACAGCTCCCTTGTCAGCTCCCCGTTGTTACAGGGCATCCAGATGAGACAGGTTCCTGCTTATAATTACACTAGCGTTTACCTTTCACATTCTTCGTTTAAAGGATCTGGAAAAACTTTTGTGGCATTTCTGATTTGTGACCACCATTTCCAAAACATGCCCTCAGGATGAAAGGCAGAAGTTGTCTTTCTTGCAACCAAAGTGTATGAACAGAAAATGGTATTCAAGCAGCATTTTGAAAGAAGTGGGTAAGTGTAATTCTACCTGGTGGCTTCCTCCACAGAAAATAAACTGCCCTCTAGGTCAGCTGTGGCTAGGGCAAAATTTAATGGGTTTTACTGGTAACAAAAGTACTTGGCATTAACATAAGGATGATGCTTACTGGTAAGAATGGCCAGTTACCAAAGTCAACTTTGTTTGGAGAGTCTGAATTCTGCTTTTGGAGAGTTTAAGCACTGGTTGTGCAGCATCTATGGAAATGGCCAAAGTATACCCATGCTTGCCTCTGGAAAAGGGTGAAGTGTGTTCTCTCTTGAGACTTCTTTCTGTCCTGCTTCCAAAGATGAGGCAGTTCCAGGCAGCAGCAGTGGGATTCCTGTCACTGTTCCCAAATGGCAGTTTCTCTTTTCCAAATGGAAGGACCGAAACGTCTTTGTTTTTTCAGCCTCTAGTCAGAAAATGATAGTCCACCTCTCAGACAGGACTGAAAATTATGGGAGTACTGACAATCTGTAGTTCTGATTTTGAAGGAACTGATTATTCAACATCCACATACGAATCCTTACAGTTATGGGAAAATGAGGCTGCTGGACAGAAAACAGTTCCATGCTGCCAGATGTATACAGAAAAGGGATGAAGGGCAGGATCTCCAAACACAGCTTACATGTGAACCAACAGATCCAGCTTAAATGTACAAGTTCATCACCCCTCAAATCTAATATATTTTAGTTAATGGCAGCTGAAAATCCAGTTGTTTACTTTCAGCAGTTTTTTTCATAGCTCTGTGGGTCGAACTGCTGGCCCCAACAATTTCACATTTTGAACTTAGTCACTACTCTTCAGGCTTGCTGAAAAGTCCAGTCTTCTAGCTTTTTTTTTTCCCTGCAAGACATCCTTTTTCCCCACCATATCTTTTGCCTCTTCTGCCTAGATATTCTGTTCAAGGAATTAGTGGTGAAACAGTTGCAAATGTCTCTGTAGAAAAGGTTGTACAGTCCAGTGACATCATTGTGCTAACACCCCAGATTCTTGTGAATAGCATCAAGGAAGGGATCCTTTGCTGCCTCTCCATCTTCACTCTGATGATATTTGATGAGTGCCACAACACTACGGGTAACCACCCTTACAATGTGTTAGTGACCAAGTACCTGGAACAAAAATTTGACTCCTCTGCAAACCAGCTGCCTCAGGTAAGGCCCAGCCTGTCAGTGGTAGAAACATTGAAAAGTATTCTGCAGTGCAGTCAGCAAAGCCTGAATCTTGCCTTTTGTGTTAATCCAGTTCAAACTCCCATTTGACAATGGCTGCAAATTGAAGTGGTAGCATCTGGAACAATTTTTCTCTCTTCTCAGACACCTCCAGTCTGTTTTCCCATTTTACATTTTCCCTGCAGCTGACAAGAAGGGCTGATCAAGCATGACAGAAACTGGAGTAGTTGAGAGCAAATAGGGTTGCTGGGCTAGGAAGAAAGCATGTGCCCCAGAACTTAGTAATCTCTTTGTCACCTCTCTATTGCTGTCTTCTGCAATAGTAAAATGGGGCACTGCCTCTGCTGGCAGGAGGTTTTGGTCCAGCTGAGAAGCCATCTCCACTGAATGAATGCAGAGGACAGTTCTGGGGGTGGATTTTCTGTTTCTGTGTATGATGAGCACTGACAAATACAGCTGGTTATGGATTTAAGTGGGTGGATAATTTATTTTCAGTTTGAGTACTCTAAGTACTCAAAGTCCAGTACTCTGGACTTCAGTAAAGCCTTTGACAGTCTCCTACAGCATTCTCCTAGGAAAGCTGGCGGCTCACACCCCAGACAGGTACACGCTAAACTGGGTTAAAAACTGGCTGGATGGCCGAGCACAGAGAGTTTTGGTGAATGGAGTTGGATCCAGCTGGCAGCCAGCCACAAGTGGTGTCCCCCAGCACTCAGTTTTGGGACTGGTCTTGTTTAACATCTTTATTGACAAGCTGGATGAGGGGATTGGGTGCTCCCTTAGTAAGTTTGCAGGTGACACTAAATTGGGTGGGAGTGTTAATCTGCTTGAGGGTAGGAAGGCTCTGCAGAGGGATCTGGACAGGCTGGACTGATGGGCTGAGGTCAGTTGTATGAAGTTTTACAAGGCCAAGTGCCGGGTCCTACACTTGGGTCACAACAACGCCATGCAGCACTACAGCTTGGGGAGGAGTGGCTGGAAAGCTGCTCAACTGAAAAGGACCTGGGGCTGCTGGTCGACAGCTGGCTGAACATGAGACAGCAGTGTG